GCTGTGGCTGCCCCATCCCTGGAAGTGTCCAAGGACAGGTTGGACGGGGCTTGGAGCAACCTGGGATAGTGGAAGGTGTCCCTTTCTGTGGCGTGGGGTGGCACTGGATGAGCTTTAAGGTCCTTTCCAGCCCTTATCATTCTGGGATTCTGTGCTTGGGACAGGGTGATGACATATAAAATTTGTTGTTGTTTGCGTCTGCAGGGTTTTCCTGCTTCATTGCAGGGGCCACAGCTGCTTTTGCAAACTGCAGGTCCCCACAGAGCCAGGAAGGGATGACACAGCTGCTCCAGGCTGGTGGGCTGCTCTGGAGTTTTTGTTTTCCTCTCGAATTCTCCTTTAATATTTCCCTGGTGAAAGGATGTTGCTTAGGCAATTCCTTGCAGGAGGCAGCATCTGTCTGCAAGGATCTAGGTGTTCCAAAGTGTGCTAATACAGCTTGAAATACCGTCTTGGAAACAAAGCACAGGGATCTCTGAGTCCTGAGGGGCAAGAAAAGTGGAAGTTGAGTGAAGTAAGTTAGAGGTGATTCTGTTACAGGCTGTAGGTTGACTTGTACAATTAGAGCTCCATCAGTTAGTTCACACACTAAGAATATTTTCATTTCAAAACCAGACCTAAGTACCTGTGTGATCTCTCTAAAAATTAGTTGTTAATTAATTTTCAAAACAGAGAAAGAAAAAGCATTTAATAGAAGAGACAGACACACACATGCACACAGCATATATATATGTTTATAGATAGATATATATAAATACACAAACACTGTATTCTTTCAGGACAAGAAACGACAAAATCTGTTTGAATATTTTTTCTACCTTGTGGAGGTGTAGAATCCCTTAAATATATTTTGGATTAAAAAGCACTGTTAGAAAGGATTGTTGGGATACTTAAGTAATACAGAGAGAAATCATGACCAGCAAAGCACATGAAATGAGAGTTCCCAGCATGATTTTTTTTTCTTCTAGACTAGTCTGTCACAATGAAAAATTGTTGTTATTGGAAATTAGCTCACTGTTAGTATTTAGCTTCAGATTCTACCTCAGAAGAGAGAGTGTGCAGGCATTGCTGTGTGAATGGCTCCTTCTTTCAGTGTATAACCTCTGGTAATTTTTGCCATGGGTATGATAACTCTCATTTTTAGTACAATATAGTAATGCAAAGATTATATAGCAGACACATAATATTTAATTCAAAAGTAAATTTTAATGCCTTTTTGGAATTAAGTCGTTTTCATGCAGCTTTGGAGTTTTCTGTGAAAACCATGTGTTGTCTCATATTTGAATAACTTTTATTTTCCTGTGTGAAGCACATGTTCCTGTAAGCATAAGTAAGTAGAAGAAAAATTACTAAAGAAGCTTTTCACTTCCTTCTGAAATATTTTGTGTCTTATGGTTGAGGTCACTTCTTTCTTCATCTGTAGAAGACAAAGAGTGGGCAGGGTGAGAGGTGACAGGAAAATGACATTTTTGTCATAAGCTTCTAATTCTTGTTTTTATTTCTTAAGCTTAAAATATGGTCCAGTGATACATGTTGACTGTGATTTCTGATAATTGGAACACAGTTTTCTAAGTGGCTCCCTGTTCATCTTTGTGTGTCTTTAAAAAACTAGCAATTTTAAAAAATCCCCACAAACAATAAAACAGATACTGAAGGGGAGCAGTGTGTCAGTCACAGTCAGTGTGTTGTCCCCTGGGACCTCTAGCAGAGTTGCTCCTTCTCTGTATAAATGAAGCGTTTAGTGCTTCAGTGTTTTACATAATGTTTTCTTGAATGATCTGAAAGAGGAAGCAGAAAGCACATTAGTTACATCTGCAGATGATACAGAGCCAGGAAGCCACAGCAGCTGTAAGAATGGTGAGAAATTTAAATTGATCTGGGGAGCAGCAACGTGCAGGAATTACAAGACTAACAAAAATTTAAAATTTACCATTACAAATTTACAAAATCACCTTGGAAACATGATCCAAACCAAAGATACCTTATGTGTCAGATTAGCTCAGTAAAGTGTTAATGATGTTTTCTTTCACTCCTGAAGTAAGCAAGGTCTGTTTACCGTGATATCCCACCCAGTTAACTCTTTGTTATGGTATCCTGATCTTCAACCACTTCTACTGAATCTTCCTAGAATTGTTTTCAGTGTCACTACTGTGGTTTCGGTGATGAAGGACAAATACTTAGGCTGTTTCTTGGTTTAAATGCAAAGAAAAACTAAGCAATATGTGGGAGAATTAATGCATCGCTTTTTAATGACTTTTTAATTCCCCTCCTCAACACTTAATTTGTAGAATTTTTGTTGAATTTTTTTAGTTGAATTTTATCTCAACCAGTGCTGCAATTTACATGTCTGTCTCAAATTCAGGAGGGAAGACACAGGAGAACATCTGTTTCATTTTGCAGAAACCTCATGGGTGTTTTTAATTTTTATTTGATTTTTGATCTCCTGCATAATAAACTTAAGCTTCCTAGTGATGGACTTACTTTGCTCACCTTTTGTGGCCCTCCTAGAAATGGTCCACACAGTGTCTTAGACACAGAAATCAGAGCAATGAAGCTTATTGTAAAAAAGCAGACAATAGTCAATTGCTTTGCATAAAGACTGAATTAAGGACTAAACTAAAGACTGTTTTGTGTTGGATTTGGACAGCTAGGAAGATGGGCAACCAAAATTTTCTGTGTCTCTGGTTTATTTGTAATTACATTTGCTTTTGAAATGTCTGATTTTTGTTTAGTGTGATTTTGGTTGGCAGTGGTACCAAGCTTTCAGCTGAAATCTATTGCTGCTCACTTTAACCTCTTTTTTAGGATTATGCATATTTTGTTCTTTTGTGCAGACAAAAATGTGATTATTTGTCCTGATTAAATGCATTTGTTTACTACCTTGTCTCGGTTGATTATATTAAAGCATAAGACAAAAGTGATATACTCTCCTTGCTATTTCTTTCACAGTACAAGTAGGAGATTGTGTTGCTGTTTTATCTGTGCTACTGTGTCTCTCTGTTTCTTTGGGCAGTATTCAAGTGTGCTGTGAAGTCTTTATCCTAATAGCGTGGTGGTGGCTTGCAAGTGATGAAAAACAGTTTCCTTTACGCAAATGTCCGCCTTTGTTAATGCTGTCAGACAGCAAGTGTGATTCAGGGGATACACGCCAATCTGTGGGTCACTGATAATGTAATCTAATTTCCAAAAATAAACTGAAAGCATCTTTTCATCTGCAGCCATCAGATGTATGTCAGCTGAAGACAACAACACGTTAGAGACAGTACATGTGAGTTTGCAGGAAAGATGTGTGGTTAATTGGAAATTAAACCTTTAGGTTTGTCACGTTTTCTGATAGACTGACCTTGCTGGAGAAGGTCATGATGGTATCATGTGTTGTTGGCAGATACTTCCACAGATAAAAGATCCAACTTGAAGGATTGTTACTTGTTTCAAACAATGCCTTTGAACTCTTTGTATGCAGTTCTGTTACCAGGCCTTTTTTCGGCAAAACTTTGTGTTAGTGAAATTTGATCTTAAAAAAGTATTAACAAACAATACACTTTTTTTTTTTTTTTATCATGTCTTTTTTTAGCTATTTTCCCTGCCTTCCCAAGTAAAAAGACGTGAAAAAGGAATGAAATGGCATTTCTGATTTTGATAGGTGAGGGGCCACAACACAGGCTAAACTCTTCCCTAGCGTGTACCACTTACATTTTTATATATTTTAAGATGTTATTGCTGTGTATTCAAGTTGAAAAGATGAGCAATAATTCTATTAATAGGGAGACGCAATGCTTTTGAAAAAAATTTATTTATGTCCGTCTTTTTGATAATTACAAGATGCAGGAGAGGATCTCTTCCATGTGCCCCTCACCAACTTGATGTTTCTGCAGGCATTTCCAACAGAGGCCAAGTAATTTAAATGCCTCTTTTTCTGAAAGATCTGCTTGTATTGTGGTTTAGAGCTGGCCAAAATCTGGGTTGTGTCATCCAGCCCACTCTGCATTTCTCAGGAGCTGCTCCCTCAGTTTTCTGCCAAGTCAGACAGTGGTGCTCCTGGAGGTGGAGAGGCTCAGAAAGCCCCATGAGTGTTGTGTAGGCTTTATCAGCTGCAGAAGTGTACCTTGAGGTAGCTCAGATTCCCCATTCTCTGCCCACTCCAGAGCACCAAAGCCAGGCCCTTCATTTCTGATTTGCTTTTCTTCAGATAACGTGTGACCCTCTTCAAGCAGTCTCAATATCCTTCTTCCATTGCCCCAAACTGAACTGCTGTGTTGGGTATTTGTGTATCTTCACCCAGCTTTGCACACTTACCGTTCAGCTGGTGCTGGTTTGTATGTATGGCTGAGCCATAAAAAAAACATAACAAAACCAACAGTTTTCTGTTCTTTCTCCCAGACATGGCAGAACAAATCTGTTCAGACCTCTTGTGTATCCTGAACGACATCCCTACTGCTGAAGAAATACAACAGTTCATTATAGATCCTGTCCTTTAGTCTCACTGAAATAACAAGGCTACCTATTTAATTGAAGGACTAATTTTATTGTTAAGAACTTGCTATCTGAACCCTGATTAGATATTATGTTAGATTAGCTGCATAAACTACAGAATGCCAGGATAACTTGGGGCTGGAAGGGACCTCTGGAGATCATCCAGTCCAACTCCCTTCCCAGTCATGATCACCTGGAGCGGTTAACACAAGAATGTGTTCAGGTGGGTTTGGAATGTTTCCAGACAGGGAGACTCCACACCCTCCCTGCACAGCTGTTCCAGGCTCTGCCACCTCCATGGAAAGAAGTTCTGCCTCATGTTGAGGGGTAACTTGATGTGTTTGAGTTTATGGCCTTTTTTCCTTGGTCTGTCCCTAGGCATCACTGAACAGAGTCTGGAACCATCCTCTGACATTTCTCAGTTCTCTGTATGACAAAGTGACTGTAAAGTATTAAAATTTATTGGAGCAAAGTTTTGCGATCCTTCCTGTGCAGTTGGGATAACTTGCTCTGTCCTTGTGTCCTAGTTCAGACTTGGCTCTGTGAGGCTGCAGGAGGTCTTGAGTCCAGATGAGGTGGTGAAGGAGCTCATTGGTTACTGCCTGGACAGCTTGGGAAAACTGCAGGCCAAAAATGAGCACCTGCAGAGAGAAAATGAAAGGCTTTTCAGCAACTGGAGTGACGCTGAGAGGAGGTGAGTTTCACAGGGGTTTCTCAGGTGACACTTGAGAAACTCACCAACAAGGTGAACACAAGATTTTATTCACATGGTGTCTGTTTCGAGCTCAGTTGCCCCCAGCCCATGTAGTTGTAAATCATCCTTTGTCAAGGATACAACTAATATTACAAGTCTGCATTTAAAGTTGATTTTAGCTTTATAAATTAAAACAAACAAACACTTAATTTCTCTTGAATCCTCTTCACTTTTGTTAGGACGCATTTCCCTTATTTATTAATAATTCTTAGCTCTAGGAGTTTAAATTATTTACATTTTTGAGTGGGAAATAAGTTGCCATTGCTTCAATCTGTTTGCCTTGTGGAAACAACCGGAGTTAGTGGTATTATGATGGCATGTGGTATTATGGGAAAAAATGCCAGAATTTCACAAGAGATTTTTATAATTGCTGTTGCTTTTATGATCTGAATTTTCTGTCACTCTGTAGCGAAGGAATCTGTGCTTGTTTCAACATAAAACTCCTAGCACAGAGAAGTCAAGATTTATCTTGTGTTTCTATAGCTTTACTTTAAAAAAAAAAAACATATTTAGAAAGATTGATGAAAGAATGTAGCTAATTGGCATTAATTTACCTTGAAAAAGAGACTTAAAGTTTTGTTTCCCTCTCATTAAAAAGAGTAACAATTTCTCCTGACAGTCTCCCTGACAGGCATAGGGCCTCCCTAAGTAGTGTTTTACTGCTTAACAGTGTAATTGAACAATAGTGTATTGTATAACCGGTGTTCTGTACTGCATTACATGCTGATGTGTAAGAAGCATTAGTACTTGTATCAATTTCCGTGGTGGGGTGGCACTTTTACAGAGTAACCCCAAAGAGAAGGCAGAAAAAAAGAAAAGAGAAATCATAGTTTCCTGACATACTTTGCTCTGAGAAGCTGTGAAAGCTGGTAGATTTCTTTGGCGTGTTTATAGTTTGAATAGATGAAACATGGTTTTTCAAAATAAACTCCAAAGATTTTATGGTCGCCACTCTTTGGCCATGTCTAATAAAGGCAGAAAAAAAAAATTTAAAAATAATTTTCACCCAAACAGTGGGTTTTTTTTTTGTTTGGGGTTTTAATTTGGTTTGGTTGTGTTGTGTTTTTTAAATTCTTTTTGCCACAGCCCAGTCTACTCTGTTGTCTCTGCTCTTTTGGCTCCAAAAGTAGGACCCAGTTTCTTGAAGCTGAACAAAGCTCTGCCTGTCTTTGTTCAGCAGGCTGGATTTCGGGATTTACATTCTGTATCACTCACGGTGTTGAGTGGTAAAACATCAAATGTAAAGCACGTGGTGTGGAGAATTGTGCTCCCGCCTTGCCTGTAGCTCAGGCATATCAACTCCACAGCCTCAGGCCCTGCAGTTCCCTGTGCTCAAAGTCTCTTTCCTCAGGACTTCATTAGAATTAAAACATTGCAGACAGACTTCTGAGGGCTGGTTTTATTCTGGTTGAGCATGGGGCAGTGGATGGAGTAATTCTATCATCCCATTTCCATTTCCCTGCTCCGATTTTTTTGACCATCAAGAGTTTTTGTGAGCAAGTGGGTGCCTGGGGGTGAGTGTGTGCATGCTTACCTCAGGGATATAGATGAGTTAAAATATCAGAGCAAAATAGCTGTTGTTTATATTTCATATAGACAGTTCAAGGCCAGAGTGGACAGGGATTGGAACAACCTGGTCTAATGGAAGGTGTCCCTGCCCATGGCAGATGGAGGGAACTGGATGAGCTTTAAGGTCCTTTCCAATCCAAACCAATCTGTGGTTCTGTAGTAATTGGGGTGATAAATTTTAATTGTAATAATCTGTAGCAAAATAATCCATTGAACAATAACAGTTAAATTTCTGATTCAGGCGTGGTATGTATTTTTTGTTCAAACATCTAAAATTGGTATAGACAAGCCAAATTCAAAATAACTCTTATTTATGTTGTGGTCAACTGCAATGACAGTATATTTAAACCTCAAATAGCTTATAAAAATGCAAGCTAGGTACTTTGGTGCTTGAAACAGACTCTTCAGCATTAGCTCATCAGGATTCCATACCATTGCCAGTGCTGTGGGAAGGGTGACTCTGAAATGCAATGGAGCAGTGCCATGAGATCCAGGAATTATTTTAGAGCCCTGAGAACAGGGGTGAATAGCAGAGACGTTGAATTCTTTTTTTCTTAGTGTTGGATTGTGGACAGTGCCACTAATAATTAAATAAGTGCCAGTAAGTTACTCAGTTCGCATTGACCTCTCTGAATTGTGTGGGATTGCTCTGCATTTAGGCAGCACTTAAAAGAGCTTGGTTTTCTTTATTTATTTTTTGTCACAGGGGCTGGTTTCACTGGGCTGTGCAAGCCTCTTGATGCCTGTCAGCCTGGGTGCTTTTGGCACATTAAAAGCATTGTGCTCACACAGCAGAGAGATCTGAGGATGCACAAATTAAAAAGCACTGCTCTAGCCATTAACATCCATTTATTTTACCATGCTCGAAAGTTGTCTTTGAGATGAGCAGCTCCTCTCTTTGGCCTGGGGAGATGGTATTTCAGGGAGGCAAATCACACATAGGTAGCAGCGTGTGGCGAATTACAATTAAATTTTTTATTTGTAATTTGTGAGGTAATGGAATGAAACCCAGACAGCTCTGCTTGGTGGTCATGTAATTCAGGTGATTCAGTGAATCCTAACAGCTCCACAGAGCCACCCCACCTACATAATTAGTGCATCCTTGATCCCAAGCAGCAGAGGATTGTTGCTTTTTTACTGCTTAGTTTTCAAGTACCAGATATGCCATATAATAGTATATTTTAAAGGCTCATAACTTGCAAATACAGCATTACTGTATTTACACTGATTTACTGATATACTGATTTACACTGATCGTATGCTGTGCCAAATTAATGTCGTACCTGTGTCTGGTGAATGTGTTTGTACATGCATATCTTTAATAAGAGAAAAATAAAAAATGGTATTCCTGCAAATTAAAACAATCATATAAGGTTAACTGATGACATACTACTAATAAATTTTGCCCACAGGGAAGAGTTAATATTCTAATCTATGCATACAGTTGGCATATATGTTTCAAGATGCTAATTTTTTGCTCCATAGACTGAAGAAATTGTCTAGAATTGTAATGGGTTCCAGTACTATACTACTTATAGTCCAGGCAGCATCAGCTTTACTTCACTGGAAGTTTCCAGTTACGTGGATTTTCATTGTTGGATGTCTTTGCAGGATTCAAGGGCCTCACTGAAATTATCTTCATGTGGCACTTTTTTTGGCCAAGTGAGCAAAATTTCTCAGTGTAACTGTTTGAACCAACCGCAACTGCTCCAACACAAATCTGTGGCTTGGCAAAATAGAGGCACAGCAGTAACCACTTTCCCTGGTTTCTGTGGGAGAGGAGACTGTTCTATAGGATTTGATACAGAGAGGATTAGCATATTAAGAAAAAATGCTCTTTTTCACCCGATTTTCATGTATACAAGCACAATTAGTGTTGAGCATGTCCAGGCTCTTCTGGGCCCTTTATTAGGGTTTATGATTCTTTGTGAGTTGTCTATTTGTTCCCTACTAAACAGTTAACTTCCCTTTTGTAGGGGGAAAGTCTCCTGGTAGTTGATTAGTACATATGATCTTTCATTTAGGCATTATTGAACGGATCCATATGGTAATGATGTTCCGCTATTTGCATTTAAATTAGATGAATTATTTATCAACTATCAAGCATATCCCTTAAGGATTGCACAGTAGACTTAATACTTCATTAGATTTAATTTTTTTTTGCTATTGTCTTTCTTCTTACATCCTGTATGGTTTTGGTCTGTGAACAAAATGATTAGTATTTATGTAGGAAGTCTGTTGAAATATCTTACTTTATATATGAGTACTTTTTAAATCTGTTACATTGTTGGGTTTAATAACAAAATAATCCTCCTAAGCTTTTCTTACCAGCCTTGGACAGGTTGGTGAAAAGAATGTTTATAAGTTTGACTATTTGCTGTATTTACCATGATCAGCAAAATTATCAAGATGTTTATTTGCTTGTTGTGTACACAGCTAAAAAAATGTTTGTGGTTCAACACAAGGACTAAAAGATTATAAAATATAGAAGTAAATCTAGAATTGCATTTTCTACAAGTAATTTTTGGGCTCATGTTTGCTTGTATTCCAGTTTTGCTATGCTTATGAGATATTCTTAATTTTATATTTCTACTATGCTTTCATTTTATTGATGTTGACCTATTCACATGTGCATATTAAACTTCTTAAAAATCCTGAAGAATATTTTACTCCGAAGATACTAATGAAGAGCTTTTAAACATTTTTATGTTTGAGGTTTTCCCCCCTCCTTCAAATATATTTCACATCAGAGTGTGTAGTCCAGATTTGAGACCTGTCAAGCTAATCAGATATATATTTCAAATCTCATCATGTGTATCCTGCTAAGGTATGCCAACTATGATGATTCAATATTGAAAATAAAGAACACTTGCCTATTTAAATTTTAGTTGGAGTTGTGCGGGAACCCATCCAAAAAAAAATACATGAAGAGAAATGTTCACATTTGGAAACTTTCCCATTTTGGTAGCAAAGTTCATTTCACTTTTCTGAGGGGGGAAAAGCTGCTTTTGGTGTGTTTCAGACACAAGGTGCTGGACTGGTCCTGCGTAGTTTGGAATGGGGATTCTTGTAAGAGGAAGTCTGGCCTCACTACAGAATTTTCTTCCAGGAAACAGCAAATTATTTTAAGAAGAATTAGAGTAACAGTTAATTTTACATTGCAGGCTGGAAAAATGTGTGGAGGCTAAAGAGAAGCTGGAGGCAGATCTTTATAACCGGTTTATTCTGGTGCTGAATGAGAAGAAGGCAAAGATAAGAAACTTACAGAAGTTGGTGAATGAAGCCAAAGAATCTGCAGCAGATGCCAAATGTACCAGGTATTCCTTAATTTTCTTGGCTTTCTTGGTATCTTACCTGCTGCATATTTTATTTTAGTTTAGTTTGCATTCCTTTGGCCCTAACAGGGAGTGACAGTTCTTCCTGTCTGAGAGCTGGGTTATCCATAACAATGCTGTAAGTCATGGGAGAGGAGGATTCTTCCTGGCACCCCTACATATAGCAGCATATTGCTCTGGGTGCTATAGCCAAGAACTAAACATCCACTGAATCTGTCCTGTTTTCTGTTGGACTGCAGCTGATATTCCATTCTTAAATGTGGTAATTGTCATATACATTCTCTCTGAATTGTTTGATTCCTTTGGGAAACAAAAATATCTAATTTTTTAAATTTTTTTTATGTTTTCTAGGGATAGTATAACTACTACTCAGATGGTTATAAAGAGAGAAAATGACTATGATGCCAGCACTGATGAGGAAAGTGAAAGTTTAACACAGGCTTCGTTACCATCAGGTAAGACAAAAAGTATTGTCTTTGTGTGATATCAGACAGGCTTTATGTGAATAAACCTTAAGGAAGGCAAAATACTACCTGACAGATTGCTCTGTGATAAGAAACCTGCAAGCCTTAAAAATACCTCTCTTGAAGCAGAGGATAATACTGCCATTTTCAAATTAGAGAGAGGAGGTTTAAAAGCATGTTGCGCAAGTGAAGGCACTGTCACTTCTTCCAAAATGACAAATTGCACACTTTGCAAAACTAATGACAATCTAACAGTACCTGAACCATCAACAGTTCCATTTGAAATTCTGGGAATCATGATGTGTGCACAATGATTGATAAAGTGTAAAATGTAGTTCCTGACAGTTTCAGTAGTGCTTAAAAAGATGGAAAGAGAGGAGGTTTAACAGCTATAAAAAGAGCTGTGTGCATAAATGGAATAGAAATGTATTTATAGCAGAGTTCACTTTAATTTATCAGTGAATTTTTGGCCTTCTGAAGATACCTGTGAAACTTAATTTGACAAATCTTTCCAGGACTAGAATCTTGTAAAGTGTTTGGGATACAGCCATGGCCCGTCCTACAATACCAGATATTTACCTGTGAATCAGAATTTTGACAAGTGTTTGGCAAACTAGTAGGAATATACAGCATAAATAAGTTTCAAAACTGCATTGATAGTTGCTATATGGTTATATGTGTATGTATATGTATGTGTATGTACATATATATAAAATCTTCCCTTCAGGTCTGTGAAGTTTTCTGTGGGTTCTCTCACTGAAGCTTTTTATTTCCACTGTAGGTAAAGGTAATCAAGGCAACACTGTGTTCTTATAAACTACCAGTTTTCTGTGCATACCTGGGAACCAGGAGTGTCCAAGACCCTGATACCAGTGACAAACAGCTTTGTCACTCCTATGAGCCTGTTTGTTGAGGGCTTTCTAGGGTAATATAAATTAAGCAGAGCTTTCAGGCAAATGGAGAAAACTGAAATAATGGAAAGAGATCATTTATTGTTGTTCTGTGCTCTTCTGAAATTTTTGCTTTCAAATGTTGGTTGGTCAGTTCAGATGACAAGGTGAGAAATATTTTATGTTGTGAAAAGGCAAGGAAGAGTTGAGAGTGTTGAGTCTTTTTCGAGATTCAGTGGGACTTAACTTCAGTGAGTGATTTTTGATATACATTCATTTAAATATGAAAACAGCCCCCACTGCCCTGCTCAGCCAGTCATGGACTGATCAGTGTAATAGGAAAATATAGCAACTGTGTTCTTATTTTTAGTTGTAAACAAAGATGTATTTTCTTTTGCCTTTGAGGGCTGCAATACTCAGTATTTTGGTCCTGACTGTAAAGCTCTTCCAGCTGCAAAATTTGCAAATAATATGAAGACTGTAAACTTAATCCCTTGGGTAACTCAATCAAAGTTTTTTCAAGGTAATGGCATTGTTACACCTGCCCAGTGAGTATTGCTTAGGTCAGGTGATGCTTCCCCTATGTGCACAGGTTTCTCTTTCAGTGAACAGTAGAAAAGCACAGATATGTGCTGAGTATCTGAAGTCTGGCCTAGAATTTTCACATGCAGAAAGAAGTCTGAGGCAGACCATGTCTCTGTGGAGAAAACAGTTTTTCAGGAATGAGTAGAATGAGTGGATGAATGAAGCTTATAGATACATGAAGCATCAAGGACTGTAAGACATAAAAGATAATATGGATAATACTTGGATCTTTCTGATTTCCTTGGTTTTCCTATCTCTTAGTTAAATATTAAATTGCTTTTCCTTTTGGACTTGGAGTTTCATTGTGTGGAATGCGGGAGTCAGAATTAAAAGATCTTTAAATTCATTTTAGTAAATATTGGTGAAACCCACAATCAAGGAGGAGATCATAATTAAATAACTTCTTTGGAGCGAAGTGAAGACATATCCAGGAAATTCATTTGGAATTGAAAAAGCAGTGGTGTTCAGCAGGTGGTTTGGTTTGTGTTTAGAAGCGAACAATAGAGGTAGTTCCATCATAGCCGTAGTTCTGTTCTATCAGCTAAGGAGGATGTGAAACAGAAGCTGTGAAACATAGACATTGTAAAATCAGTCACTTTCTCAGGATATGTTGAACTGCAGTTTCAAACTCTGAAGATTTTGATAACCGCCAATAATTATTTTCCTTCCTTAATTTTTGGGGCACTGAAGGCATTCCAGTGGATTTGGAAAAAAAACCTGCTGATATATACTATAAGAAAATTAAATGGCTTTTTTTTACAATAATATTAAATTATTAATCTGATGTTGATCTGATCCAAATACTGGAACAGGACCCACGGAAGAAAAATATTAAGAAAAAGTGTAAGAATGATTAATTGCAGTCTTTGTAAAGGGGAAGAAACTGGAGCCTGAAAACTTGGTACTCATGTTATCTGTGATGAGATTCCCAGCTGTCTGGTCAACTAGTGAAGTACTAGAGTGACTTACATAAAATATCATGTTGCACAATGTTTTATTCAGGAAATTAGAATATGGAAATTAACATGAGATAAATACATTTTCAGATGAGCCTGTCTGTTTGTCTCAAAATACAAATGGAGGGTTATCAGTCCTGGTATCTGTGGAGTGTGAAATTGAGGGTGATTTATATAAACTGGTTTCCATTTTGTGATATACTAGCTATGAGCAGAATGAACTAACACAGTGTAATGTCGATTTTTAGTCCTTTGACAGCTACAATTCACTTGGGAAAATCAACAGCATCTCCAGCTGTGCTTAGTGCAGCTCCTTCTGCCACCTAAAGCTGGTATTATCTCTAGGGACTGCCATCACTTTCCCCAGGTGGGGACTCACCAAGAGCTCCTTGATGCAGTGCTGTCAAGTTTGGACATCCAGATTTGAAGAAAAATGTACATGTTACCAAGATAGGGACAATAATGTTGTGATAAGAGTAGAAGCTTCCTGCTTACAGTAGCAGATAAAGTGTAACTCAAAAATTTACCTGGCATTTTAGAGGCTTTGGCATTCACAATACTATTTGTAGGTATGATTTAGGGTTTGCTTTTTGACAGCAGTTTCTGCTTCATAGTTTAAAGCCAAGATCAACTGCAACATGGTAGTTTTTGTCTCTAATTTAAACACTGAGGTACTTAATGCTTTGTATTGTAAAAGAAAAAACTAGAATTAGTAAGTATATTAAAGCACTCAGAAAAACAGTTGATGTGTAGGAGAAGTAAAACTTTCAGAAACAGTATAACAATTATAAATAACACTGTATGTCATTCCATACAACAGCTTTGCCCATCGAGCCATGAGCATGGGGTGGCATTTATTTGAAATATTGGTTAGGATTGTGAATGTGAGATTGAAAAAGACACATAGCCCCAGCTTTCACTGCAGTTTAATAAATTCTTATGCAGCAGCTACAGATGATGTGTCAGGTCCTTGCAAATGCCTGTGAGCTCCTGGCTGAGAGAGGAAGGAAGCGATGAAGGAAACCCTTCTATTGTTCTTCATGGATGGGGTGTTAGGAATGTTTTTTGGGAGAAGTGGGAAGTTGCTTTTGGTTTGGATTGTTATTGTTTTGGTCCAGGGTTGGTAGGATTCTGTGTGAGTCACCAAAACCAGGTAATACTGAGACATCAACAAAGTTTCACCAACTGGAGCAGGCTTGGAAATGTCACAGAGGTGTTGAGTGGAATGAGACTGTTGCTCTTTTTATGTGCTGTTGCAAACTGGACCTGTTTTTATTTTAAGGGGCTAAAAAAATGACTGGAAATGGTCATTCTGTATTTCTCTTAGCCCACAGTGACTCAGCCCAAGAGTGACTGGGTGACTCAGCATGATACCACCACACTGGTGCAAGACGTTTCTGCCATTTTAAAATGCAGAAACACTCTTTAAGTATTAAGTAATGAATTTAATTTAACTTAGTATTAATTTAAGTATTCCTTAAGTAGTCTTGTTTAAGGACAATCCCGAACACAACCCAGCTGCTACTGATTCCTCTTTCTTCTCCTCTGTGCTGAATTTTATTGCTGCTGAGTCCTCCCAGGGATCCTAAAATGACAATAAGATTATCAGACTAATAAAACATCATTTGATATCATAGTTGGCAGTCATGTCTTTGCCCTACAAATCAGACCCTTTTATTAAGTGAAAAATACTTTGGTGATCCACACATTATAAAGTTTTTTCAACAGGAATAAGGATTGGATAAACCTTTCTGCTTCCTTCCCAGGAGCTGGAAAGGTAGATGGAGAGAGTTTCTCTCATCTCAGCATTTGGAAGGTGACCAGAAAAGAGAATATTATTCCTCTTCCCAAGTATGTGATGAAGCTGTAGGGAAAGATTTAAATACTTGTAATCTGTAATGGAGGTGTGAAGGACAACGTAGCAGGTGGGAAATAAGCAATGGAAGGAATTATTTTACAATGTATTATTGTTATTTCCAGTTATAATGCATTTATATGTGGCTGCCTGTAGGCAAAACAAGGCTACTGGGCACCCATTTATACTCAGCTCGCATCCTCTCAATTTCTCTTGTCTCTGAGTTCCTTAGTTGTTTTTCACATTATAATTGGTGGAAGTTACTGCTCCTTGGGGTAAGGAATGATCTGATGATCTAGCCTGTTGGATTAAGTAAATTTTATGATCTGTGTTTCTTGCCATGTATATGGAAATATTCCACATTAAGTGAGTCCTCAGACATTCAGTGCTCATACTTTTCTGCATGTTTGATGGAGAGGACAAATTCATAACTGGCTCTAATAAACTCACTGTTGTGCCCACAATAAATAACTGCAAGCACCTTCCCACTGCTTCACTATGCAAATATTCTCGTCACCCTCGCTCAGATTCCTGCCTTGGTGATTGTGTGTTGTGCCTTCAGGGGTCTGTGGCTCTTTAAATTTAATTAGCTCTCTTGTGTAGTTCAACTCACCGATGGCTTGATGCTGTTGGTTAATAAGCTTTGATCACAGTTAATAAAAAGAAGCCTGTTGTAACAGCACCTGTTACAACAGCATACTGTAC